GGATAACGTGCTTGTTCCCTACGGATGTGCAGGTGCATCCAGGATGCCCAAGAAAGACAAGCCAGGGAGGCTTAAGGGGGAGTCACTCATTTTACCTTTTGTCCCAGACCACGCACTGGGAAAATAGCCCCTGAATAGTGAATGCCCTGAGGACAATTAGCCGGCAGTGGATTCCTGATGCACAGCCTGGGCGTGTGAGGGGATGGGGCTGGGTCCCCGGAGCCTGTTACAGGAGGAGCACCGGGTTCTGACTCCACAGCCTGTGAACCATGGGACGGTCGTGACTGTGGCTTCACTGCTCTGGCCTCAGTGTCCTCATTGGTACAAGGAGCACAGGACTACCAGTAGGGACACTTAAACCCACCCCCACCCCCACTCCCAGAATTTGCAATCATCCAAATGTGAGCCTAATGACGTTAATGACTTTGCCCGGAAATAAAATCAGTGTAAACTAAGGCGCTCACTGAAGCTCAGTTTCTGAGCCAGTCGGTGTCTTGAAATGAAGCTTATCAGCGTCAGAGAAAAGGAATAAACGTCACGGTGCTGGCAATCGCCTTCTGAGGTCTGAGGCTGCCTGGGCTGCGTCGGCCAAGGACTAGCTCCAAGGCCATGATCAGCACGAATGTAAGCCGTGTGTCCGTCCCGGCCACCACGCACTCTGCACCCCCCGTGCCTCTGCTCACAGTCCGAGCGATGTCCTCACAGCTCTACTTCTTATAGAAAACACAGACGATTTGCAGAAACAGCCCCGACCGGTGATCCAACGAGCTCAGAAGGCGGCAGCTGGGTCCACATCTCCATCCTTGTGGTCGGCGGCCCTCCCACCTCTGCTGTGAACCCATCTGCAATAATGTAAGTGGCTCGACAGAGATTTGACCAGAATGATGGATTTTTTCCCCTCAGCCTCAGATGGACAGAGTACGGACTTTCTTCAAAGCCGGGAATGCCTACCTTTGGGCTTAGAAAGTCAACTTCTAATGAAGATGGTTGAAAAATTAGTTTGGCCTGAAAACACAGGTGGAGTCCTACCAGGAAACCATCACTGCAAAGAAACCTTTCACGTACGATGCCCTTCCGCACGGTGGAGGATGGCCCGGTGAAAGGGGACACAGCCACACCCGAGCCCTGCCGGGGCCTCGACACAGGCTCGTCCTTCGTGGCAATGAACGTGGTGGTAGCCGCAGGCCTGGGGCTGGAGGAAGCCGGAACCCTTCCTGAGGAGATGGCAATTGATGTCCCACCTCCCCTTCACTCCCCCACGCCATCAGACCTTCCCAAAACTAGCCAGGAAAAGCCCCAATACCTCTCCTAGGTCCACGGAGAAAAGAAGCAGAGCTGAGGACACCCGACACTGACCTTCGCCAGGCCTGCGACGTCCGAGACACTCGGTGAATTTAATTCTCACGTCAACAACGCCAGGAGGCAGGTACTCTGATGGCATCACCCCTTTCTAAGTAGGAGGACATGAAGACGACACAGCCCACAGGGGGGATGCGAGACGAGCCCAAGGGCCCAGGTTTATGCTCCCAACCACCGTATCGGGGTCCTCTCCCTTGGGGGTGACAAATTCTTGTGTTGACACCCACACAGACCACCCAACTCAGAACTTGGGGGTGGCACCCAGCAGTCGCATCCTACAGAGGTCCCACGGGCGATTCCAGGGGTGGCCCAGCTCAGGAGCCGCTGTTACTGACCTGGGTCACAGTCCCTACATATGGACTCGGTACCCGGGAGATGGACACCAGGCTGTCTGCGTTCCTGGTCGCATGCTGGGGACCGTGGTTACGGCCACCGAGTCCCATTCCCTTACAACACAGAGTGGGGCATCAACCTCTGGACTCCTTATGCTTGGAATACTTGATAAGGAATTGTTACTGTAACAAGGGTGTTGAGTAATGAATACAGAGTTAAGGAAGAAGGGGAACATTTGCAAAGGGTCCGTAAGCCAGCAGAAGGCAGGCAGCACTGCCCTGCGAGGCGCGGAGAAGGTGCTGGAAGACGAGGGCGGGGGACTGCCAGCTTGTCACACCCTCAGCTTCTGAGCAGCTGACATTTCCCTTACAAGTGATGCGCCACCTCCTTAAACGAAAGGGGGCAGGCGCCTGACAGCTCCAAACTTCTTTAAAGATAAAATAGAGCTGTCAGGGACTATTATCCTTCTGTCAAGTTATTTGGAATTCCACTGACAACAATTCTCTCTTCCGCACACATGACAGTCACCCATGTTTTTGAGAAACAATCCGGCGCTTTACAATGACTTCTGCGAGTCCTCCACCCCCTTTCCATGTTTACCTTCTCAACGTGATTTTGCTATTGCAATTCCTTGCCTTTGCGCTCTAGGGGGGCTGTCTGTACTCTCGGTGCCGCTGGCGAGCAGGGAGCATCACTGCCACTGTCACGGTGCAGTCCTTGTTTCTCTCGCACATTCTTCAGAATGACTAATCAGCTTGCAAACCGGTGCCAACGAGAAGGTGGAGAGTATCTGAAGAACTTGGGGCTCATGGAATGCAGAGGTGGTGCAGCTCAAGCTGATTTAAATCATCCTTTGAGGGGATCCCTGGGTGGCTCAGCGGTTTGGCGCCTGCCTTTGGCCCAGGGCGTGGTCCTGGGGTCCTGGGATCGAGTCCCGCGTCGGGCTCCTGGCATGGAGCCTGCTTCTCCCTCTGCCTGTGTCTCTGCACTGCCCCCCTCTCTGTGTGTCTATCATGAATATATAAATTTAAAAAATCTTTAAAAAAATCACCCTTTAAACCAAACCTCTTCCTAGACGAATGAGGAAGGAGGGGGGTTCAGAGAGGGCTGACATCCCCTCCCAGGGGAGGTGGTGAGTGGTGCATGCAGACACCTGGCCTCCTTCTTGCACGTCCTCCTATGATGGGTCCAAGGACCACCTCACCCGAGGCACTGTTTTGTAAATCTTCTCACTTTCTCTTTAGAAAATAAATCCCAATTGCATTTCTGGGGGGAAAAAATCTATTATTTTGTGATGGGCCATTATGGAAAGCCAGAGCAGTCAGAGGGTGTCAAATAATGTCTGGTTTGAAAGACGGCTTTTAAAGGAGCACCAGGGCGTGGGAAATCTCCCTCTTCTTAGATGCTTATATGGCTCATTCTCACTCTGTACTAATGGTTTTCCATAGTCAAGCACGTTGTTCCGAAGTATTTTACTAATAACTTTACATTATAAAAAGTCAAATATGTTTTATTTTTATTGAAAACTTGAAATCTAGAGTATAGGGAAGAAAATGCAACGCTATTGATAATCCTGTGACTGTGTTCATTTTGGCATATTTTCCACAGGCACAGGTATCTCCTACCTGCCCATATGTGCATGGTCTTGTCCTGATGGAGATGCTCAGGTATTTAATGATATTATGATCGTTCTGTGGACACAGCTCTCTATCATGTCTGATCCGTGGAATACTGTGTCCAGGGCACTTTCTCAAGGACGCTGGATTGGATGATAAACAAATGTGGAGACGTGCATCCATGGAAGGTGAATCACCGAGCTGGAGTGTTTGGCACAAGCTGAGAGGTCACGGTTGATGCTGAAGGAGTGCAGGCTTCGCAGCAGGTTCAACAGAGCGAATTCTAGCTCCTTGACTTGACTTCATGCCTCCAGAGTGTGTGCATAGACATGGATTCCCTGACAACGGTTCAGTGTCACCCCTGCATTTCCTCCCTCTCCTTCCAGGACAGGGGACGGTGAGGTCATATTTGAGGGGAAGACAGAACAGTTGTGACTTAAGGGAAAGAACCGTTTAGGGTCACATCTTTGAACAACCTCCTTTGGAAGAACACGAGTTCTCCTTTGAATACCTAGGTTGGGCAAGTCTGTATCTGGTTCACGCACTTCCTGCCCTCTATTGCTGGTTATCTTATCTGCCAGCCAACAGGAAGTGACGTGTGTGCAGAGAATGGCATATCGCTTGAATTGCCCACTGAATGCACTTGCTGACGACATTGTGTCTTAAGACCTAAAAACTCACATGCTGCCTTGACGTCTTTGAGCCTCACGGAGTCCAATGGCCTAACTGGGGGCCCCCGGCCCCTGACAGCTCCCCACCCTGTGAGAAAGGCCACCCACCTTGCAGCTGCACCCCATCTGGTCCTCAGCAGGCTTCAGTTCCCTGCTGGCTTACAGAACGAGTCAAACAGGCCCAGCACATGCTCCACAGGAGCCAGGGGCCACCTTGCCTTCCTGTTACTACAAAGTCGGCCTCCTCAAGCCCGGCCTTGGTGGCTGTGCTCCTGAGCGCAGGCCGGCAGGGCCCAGCATGGCCCTCACGGCCTCCTCCCCAGGGCGTGATGAGTGTGTATGACCAATAGCCTCTGCTGCACCTGCCCAGGGCCTGGTGTGTGTGCCGGGACATCTTACACTGTCACCAACAGAGTGAGTGGGCGGGGATCAGAGAGTAGCACCCGCTCAGCTCCTGGGTGCTGTCGGCTATGAGGCCGGGAGCCAGGAATGGTGATCTTGGATGCAGTTTTCTTTTGGCCTTGTGTTTAGGGTTTATGCTTCACTGGGGGGCGGGATTGAGGAGCACTAGAATCAGGTGTGGGACTGTATTTCTGAAACCCAGCCACAAAAGGGAAGCAACACAGCTGGGAATCGTGGTTTGTTTGAAAACGAGCAATCCAGTCTGGCTGAGGATTCAGGCTGATTTGTGGTCCACATGCAGCCAGACGACCTGCTTCTGCTTTCGCCCTCATTGAGCTTTTTTCCAAATGCCACAGCAGGACATAGGTGGGGGAATGCTATTTGTGCAATACGGCCTCCTCTCTGAAGATCGTGGGAATTTTGCAGGGATATGTTAAATGTTCAGGGAAATGTTTGTACCGCTTATCATCAGAGAATAACGTGTCCGATACACTCCTTTAGAGGCAGCTTCAGAAATCGTGCAATACTAAATAGAAAGTGTATTTATGCAAACAGCAGGCACAGTTCAGGCCGCAGCCGCACATCTCAAACACAGCCAGACCCTTGGCGAGATCCTCACCTTTCAAGGTAGCTTTCTTAAGAACTTTCATTGCGTACAGCTGCCCAGTGTCAGATCCCTTGGTCTTCCTCACCAGGAACACCTGACAAAGAGAACACACAATATCGGAAACTGGGAAGACGTTGAACTCATTTCCCTTATTTGATTTGACAAGGGGATATACAAGGGAGTTTAGGGGAAAATCCAATGAAATAAATATGCTATCAGGAAATTTTATTTTATTTTATTTTATTTTTTATAAAGATTTTATTTATTTATTAGGGACACACAGAGAGAGGCACAGAGACACAGGCAGAGGGAGAAGCAGGCTCCATGCAGGGAGCCCGATGTGGGACTCGATCCCAGGTCTCTAGGATCATGCCCTGGGCTGAAGGCAGCGCTAAACCGCTGAGCCTCCCGGGCTGCCCGAGGAAATTTTAAACACAAAATTTTCTCCAACATCTAGGCTGCCAGGACAGATTTCATCCAGGACGCAAAACAGCATTATGTGTTTTGTGTGAAGAATCGTTTGTTCTTGGTACCACTAAACCTTTTCTAGCATGGGTAATATCACTCTTCTGGGGAGAAAAATAAAGGCCAGGTGATTCGAAAAACAAAAAAATGCTCAGAAATTTTAAGAGAGATCATTTGGTTTATTCTAAATATCCCTTTGTAAATCCCCACTGTGAAGTCTACCTTGATAGTTATTGCCAATCACATGAACAGACGCTGATTCTCAAGATAAGTTGAGTTCTCTTATTTTGAGCTTTTTCACCCAAATTTTAGCTTTGGGCAGAGTTAAATTTATAGATACAGTTAGATTCTTTTTTTTAAAAAATAGAGTTAGTTTTTAAATGGCTCTTAGATATACTTGTGTGGATCCTTAATGACATTTTTGAAACACATTTTGAGATGCCACATTGAGGAAAATCAAAAATAAAACTGAGGGGCTGAGTGAGTTTAGGGTCATAGGCATGATGTTGAACAGAAAGAGTAAGATAAATACACACACACACACACACGCGCGCGCACACACACACCCTCCTGGGGCATTAGAGACCACCACGCTGGTGATGCTTGTTATCCAGTGGAGGCGCCACCACAAGGGTGACAATGACCCACCCACTCCCCAAAATGCCTGCCTCATGGAGCCTCATGAAGCCAGAAAGACCTGCTACTGCACATGTCTCCAGGGGAAGCCAGCTCCACCAGGTGTCGGGTTGGCGGGTGGGGATACAGGGTCACCCGTTGGGACAGAAGACAAACCAGCACATGGGGTTGGGGGTGGGCTGCAGGGTCATGGTGGGGACAGAGGACAAGACCAGCACGTGGGGTTGGCTCCCACAGCTCCCCACTTGGGGAGGAGGGCAAAGGGGAAGAGAACGGCTGAGGATGGGGTCTCCTGAGCAGAATGTCTGCCTTCCTCACCAGACACTCTCGGTGTCTGTCCTGGGTTCACCGTGTGCCCTGGGGACCACACACTACCTCCTGACCCTGAGTGGGTCCTGGCCCCAGGACAGCCCCTGTCCTGCTCCTTCCTGACCGCTGCCGGCATTTGGGTCACAGTTCTCTCCCTAGACCAGGGTCAGTGCCAACAACCCCCTGCCTCCTCTGGCCCAGAGAACAACAGGGGTGGGAGGGACAGGCTGGCCCTGGATGCTGCCTCCAGGAGTGGGGGCCCACGCAACCACAGGCAGAAGTAGGTTACCCCTTTTCTTTTGGATTTGGACTATTCTGTCCCTGTGCATTGATATTCATCTTTGGGGGACACAGGACGTGTCTAGGTGTGTGCATGTGTCCTTGTGGTTGCGCTTATTGGCTGGATGGACCTGGCTGTATTGCAGAGCCCTGGGGACAAGCCTTCTGTGCCGACAGGCCTCCTGCAGCCTTGTGCTTACAACGACGAGGGCTCTGCTGGGGACGGGCCTCCCGATGGGCAGTAGAGCTGCACCAGCTGCGGTCAGAAGGGTGGGTGTGCAGAGAACAACTTAGTGTCTGACATTCTGAGCCCTCTGACTCATGGGAAGTCATAGGCCCTGCAGCATGTCTGGTCACACGGTGGATCCCCTCATGCCTCCAAGGCCTTTCCCCAGGCTGGTGTGGGCACGTGGGGACAGCCAGGATCCAGGTCATGAGCAGCAGCCCAGTGAGCAGCCTGGAGAGGGTGGGGGTCCCACCCAGGACCTGAGCATTGGTGCCCAGCACCCAGGAAAGGAAGCTGTGTCCTGAAGTTGTGAGGGTGAGGGATGGGGTGTCTGGGGCAGGGGAGGGGCTGCTGGCAAAACAGGTGCAACTCTAGCAGCAAAGGCCTGTGACCTCTGGAGCTAGAGGGTCACTGCAGAGCTAGAGCAGGGGGCTCCTGGCTCAAGTCCCCCATGCGCCTCAGCTGGGGGGCACTAACCTACTGACTCTTTACAGTGAAGCCTATTGGTTAGCCCAAGACAGACATTCTTAGAGTCAGACGACCAGTAACAACAATAAAACCTTTCTTTCAAAATGTGCCATATCCAGAAACCACCTTTCCTGCCTGCATGTTCATCCCGCTGTCCGCCTCTCCCCCTGTACTGTCAGGAGGGTGTGCATGATACACACGTGAACATACGTGAGAGCATATGTACGAGCTCGGGGATGAGTGGAAACCCACACTGGAAACCAAGTTCACGGGGGCTGCCGACCACTAAGAGGAGCATAACTGACATCAAATTTTGCGTGGAGAGCCACACATGAAACCGTCTTCTCTGTTGTATTTCAGGCTTTTAAAAATAAGATGATTGACAGTGATGGCTATTTATACGTATATTAAAAGAGTTCTACTTTTATTTTTGAAAAGAACTGGAAGACATTCCATTCTCGCAGTGTTCGCGAAGCCCCCATCAGGCCCCGGGCCCTGGGCGCACCACGGGCACCGCAGCGGGGGAGACCCTGGGGACAGGCAGGGCACCTGATGGAGCCAGTGCTTAGGGCGCAAACTATGGAGCAACCAATGCCACAGGTGAACCTGGTCATGAGTGAAGAGAAGGGCTCACAAGCCACAGGCTGCCACTCCCTACGGCGCCCCGTGCCGCCTCCTCTTAAGCTGGACCCATGTCATTCAGGAACACATTTGGATGCAGTGAACTAAGTTCTGGATAACTCCAGCAGTTTCAGCAAATACAGTCACTGATTTTTCAATTCTAACCTAGCTGGCTTTAACAGGGTCCCCATTTTACTCCTGACCGCTTCTTCAGCAGCTCAGCATGTGACAGCTCAGCATGTGACATGTGTTACGTGGGGACACGTGGAGACGGATGCTTTGTCATCCTAAGTCGCCCCAGATCTTCAGGTGTCACTATAATCAGCAAAACCACTGCCTGACTCTCTCAGCAAACTTTTCAGCTCTTAGAGCTGCGACGTCGCAATCGGTCTGCAGTATCCTCCAACAGAGCAGCCAACTGGGAGGTGCCGGGCGCTTTCAGAGGATGTAGGGTGACAGTGTCCTCAAAAGGAGGCATTTAAAGACCCACTCTTATGTGCTATCAATTAAGCGATAGGAGAGCAAGGGCGTGTATTTATTTGGTTTAATCCCTTCTCAGAGTGTGGGAATTGTATCTGCATATCTTTTCCTTGAATATTTTGAAGAAAAGAATTGAAGAAATTCTTCTATTGAAGAAAAGAATGTTCCCAAGCCGGCCCCTAGTGTTTATCCACTTGAGGGACCTCAAGGAGCAGGTGAGGGGATGGGAAGAGGGCGACGATGTCACTTTCGGACTCTCCTGGTGGCTCCAGCACCTCTCTTGCCTGCAGACTCTCAAGGAACCCCTAGTCTGCATCACACACCTGGACACCTGTGCCGTACCTTCCAGAATTTCACTGCTTTCCCGATTCAATCCTGAAATTGCTTTGTCTGAGGCCAAGGCTGTTCCTCCTGTCCAAGCACCACTGCTCCCTCTGCACTCAGTTACAGCCCTGTGTGGACAAATGTCATTTGTGTCTGTGGCTCTCTAGTGCCTAGTGTTGGTTCCAAGTCATCCCAGGGCACTTCCGAGAGCTTTCCAGAGCTCTGTTCTGTCTGTTGGTCACCTCTCATCCACTGAGAGTCCTGGTCTTCGCTTCTAGGGCCCACCAAATGCCACTCATTATTTCACTAGTTTTCCAAAGAATGGTTTTTCAAAGTTCGAAATTTGGAGGTACTTGCACAAAGCCTTTTCTTCTTTTATCATTAACCCCAGGTATCTGAGGAGGGCATCTTCAAGGGCAGGTTTTGCCCAGTGAAGTTTCTGGACAGACTCCCTAGAGCCCCAGACCTGTGTCTCCATTGAGCTTGGAAACATTGTCCCATCCGTCTGTCACCAAGCACCCGAGATGGGGGCGGTGGGCGGTGGTGACCAGGAGGCCTGAGGGACCCAATCAGAAGGCAGTGGCTGCAGCAGCCCCAGCTGCGCCTTTGCTGCAGACGAGGACCACTTGGTGGATAATGTGCTGCACGTCCAAGTCTATTCTCAGGAAACAACATGTGGCAAGTGTCTGTGAATCTGCTCATCTTTATTCCGAAATCATAGTTCTCAGAGAAAGAATTATGCCTTCTTTTTTCTGACATTTCTAATTAACGGCGGACATTCCATTATCGCATAAATAGGCTTTGCCTTGTGCTCTTAGTAATGCTCCTCACCTGCAAGAGATTGAGATCTTCATTCCCTGCTTCCAAAAATACCTTATGATCCACATTAAGTAGCCATTTTTGTTGGACACAAAATTGTGAATCCTGGAAATTTTGTGCAGTTCAAAACTACTATGTTTGTATGTACATCTATGCAAACATCTCCTTCCCACGTCACTGTAGGAAAGTGGAAAAGAAAACAGAAAAAGTCTACCTCATACACAGGCCAAAAGACAAATTTTGCAAGGAATCAAATTTTCATGGTCTGTAAGAGACTTTCCAGAACATCACGAATGTTCTATTACTCGTGCCTTAAATCAACAGGCAGCAGATTTCATCTTGGCATAAAGTCCTATGGAGAATGTCCACATTCCATATAAAAATTAGTTTTCCAAAGCTCCAGGCCGCCGTTCTGCTTGCAGCCAAGGTAGGCGCTGAACCGTTCTCCTCGGGCCCGGGTGTTGCAGAGATCACGTCGTCAGAGCCTACGGATTCCTGGCAGTCATGCAAGGATGCAGAAGAAGGAGCACCGTGTGCTGGAAAAACTCACACGTCGTCACAACTGGAGAATCCCTGACGTCCTGCTGGGCTTGGATGTGGCCCCAGTGAAGAGCCGACCACTTCTCATTTCCTGGCAGGGGTCGGCCTCCACCGCATGTTATCAGTGACATGGAAAGGGCGTGATTTCCAAGCGCAGATACTGCTTAGGCAACTGCTGGAAGGGATCAGGCCTTCTTCTGTTGTAGCATAATCACATGGGTTATGTCATCCCCGTTGTATAGACGAGGAAACTGAGGCTCAGCGAGAGAGTAAGCGCACTGCCAAGGCAGAGGGCAAGCAGAGAAGCCTGGTGGCGAGGCCCGGCCTCCCTGCCTCCTGAGCACCGTCATGGCCAGTCCTGAAGGATGTCACCTTCTTCCTCCTCACTGGGTGTGTGCTTTCCAAGAGGCCTCGGCTCAAGGTCAAGAACCGTCCTCACGATAGTGATGAGGAGATGCTGAGGGAAGTCTGGGGCAATGTGGGGTACTCGGGCCCGTGCAGCTCTGGTTTGCATAGCTCTCCGAGACAGTCGTAACCATGCCAAGTGCTCATGGGCTGCCAGGAACACAGGAGCCTGTAGACGGGGTGGGCCCATGGGGCTCACTCCCTCAGCCCAGGAGCCAACCTTGCCATCGCTTGCCACCCCAGACACTCAGGTGCTTCCACCTGGGACGGGGACCCACCATAGTGCGTGAGGCCCACTCAGAGGGAATTGGAGCCCCAACTTACCTTCCCGTAGGATCCTTGTCCTAACACCTTCAGCAGTTCAAACTGGGAAGGGTCGGCCTTTTCAAACCCTTCCTTGACATGGTGGCTAATGTCAATCTCCTTGACGGTGCCTTCCTCCTGCAAGAGAGCACAGCACCCAGTGAGTATACCGCCAGCAGCCTCCCCGATCCACCACACTGCCATCCCACGCTCAGGTCACCCCGCACATGGTGATGTTACAGATTCTGAGGACCACAGTGAAAGAGGAAAAACCTCCTCTACCCTCAAGATCTTCCGGCCGGATCAAGGATTAAATTCACATGAGACAGGTTAACAGGAGGAAAGAAATCAAAGTACCATGTGTACCAAGGCCTCATAACAAAGCCGAGACCTAAAGAAATGACCAGAGCAGGCAGTTTTTATTCTTTACAGGCAAAAGGACAATAAATCTGCCAGGAGTTGGCAGGACAAAGAAAGCTCGACTTTGGGAGCCTCCATGAATTAGGAATTGTAGAGAGGGTTTGGGCTGGAGTAGGAAACTGGGGAAAGTAGGAGAGATTCCTGTCTCTGGTGATGGAGGGTACCCTTCCCAGCGGGACGTGCTGGGACACATGCAACATCACAGAGTTTAAACCATCATCCTGATCTGTGCTTCCTTTCTGGAAGCAGGCCAGGGGAGCTGTTACTTGGCTCTTTCCCACATGGATCTTTGTCACTTGGTCTCATCTCAAGGACACGTAAAGGAGCTCTCCATGACATCCAGCCTGCTTCTAACAGTTCGGGCAAACATTGGGATGGGGATGATCATGGAACCCATGGGATGAGCCTCCAAGAACCTGTCCTAATGTCTACGGGGCTGTGCTGAAGAGGGCCATTTACAGACTCCCTACATGGCCACAGTTGGCCAAACGCAAGTGCGTGTCCTCCTCCCCCCTCCTCCTCCACAAGCACAGGGCATCTCACTGGTCTCCCAGAGATTATATTTCAGAAGAATCAGTCAGACGAGATTTTTCCACCAGTCCAGAAGCAAGATTTCCCCGGAGGAGAAAAAAAAAAAGCCCTTGTTCTATAAATTAACACAATGACAGAAATCACTGATTTTTTTTCATCAGAGAACTTCCCGTCCCCAAAGATAACAGCACTTCGCTTACACCTGGGTATGCGATCCGCCCAGTGCCAGCAATCTGGAATCGGACAACTAGGAAGGAGGTGTTCATCCTGACAGTGGAGGCTGACTGCTGCTGAGTCGTTGTCTCTGCTTCCTGGAGACTCGGTTTCCAACCCCTCCATCCGTCTGATGGTTCACCCCCTGCCCTACGGTCTTGGCATCGGGCTAGGTGCTACAGATTAGCAGAACGGGCTGGCTGAAAAGCCCATCTAAAAATAGTGACCGGTAATGACACGCACATTGTGTTCTGGGCCCTCGGGACTTCTCATTGTGTTGAAGTAGAGATCCAGTCTGAGTCAGGCCTCGAGCTATGCGTGTTGGACATGGGTTTCCAATTGCAGGCTGCCAGAACGCCACCACGTCTCCCCGTATGTTAGCGGAATTTTCAAGTGAAATATGTTAGCAGATATTTTCAAGTGAAATCATGATAGCAATAATTTACATGACAGCGGTCTCTCTAAAGGGTACAAAGACTTCATTTCTCAGAAGTTTCGAGTTGTATTATTTTATCTCCACGTCACCTGTACTGGATCAAGATCACACACACTGCAAAGCCTCACTGCAGGTCAGCAGCTGACCCAGGAATCTGTTGCTTTTTCTCCTCTGATGCTTAAGGGAACACTCCAAATTCCACATTCTCGGGGACGATTTGCTCAGGAGACAACCAATTGGAATGTCATACATTTGTGATCACTTCTCGAATAAATAAGTAAGGATCTGGGGGCAAGGGTCACCCGATCGGGGATCACATTTAGACTGCAGTCTGGGGGGGTGGGCGTGGTCGCAGGTAAGGACAGCCCCGCTTTATGCCTCAGGCCTCCAGGAGCTCCAGGCCCTGAAGGTTCAGAAGACCGAGCAGCTTCTGGAGGGGAACCTCTCTCCATCCAGGATGGGAAGGGGAAGGACCATGAGAACCTGGGCTTCAGGGTGTCGCCTGGTTTCCCGCGAGCGCTGCACTCAGTGCGGCTGCTGCAGACTTGAATTTCCCACTCAGACCAAGGTCAAAGCTGAGGTCCGAAACGACTCTCCACGGTACATGCTAGCCTTTCCTGCTGTGGACGTGTCAACTGAAGAACAAATGGAAGATTCTTTGTCCCTTAAGTAAGAACGAAATGGCCCTTTTCTGTTAACAAAGCACCTTCCGGCAATGGGCCCAGTGCCCACCCTCCACCTATAGCACAGCCTCCACCTACAGCACAGCTGGAACCCTGATTTCCTACCTACAGCACAGCCCAGCTCCTGGAACCCTGATTTCCCTCCTACAGTGCAGCCTGGTCCCCAGAAGCCCGATTTCCCGCCTACAGCGCAGCCTGGCCCCCCAAACCCCAATTTCCCTCCTATCGCACAGCCTGGCTCCCAGAACCCCAATTTCCCTCCTACTACACAGCCCAGCCCCCCAGAACCCCGATTTCCCTCCTACAGCACAGCCCAGCCCCAGAATCCCAATTTTCCTCTTACTGCACAGCCTGGTGCCTGGAACCCCTGTTTCCCACCTACAGCCCAGCCTGGCCCCCAGAACCCCGATTTCCCACCTACTGCACAGCCCGGTCTCCAGAACCCCAATTTCTCTCCTATAGCATAACCTGGTCCTTCAGGACCCAATTTCCCACCTACTGCACAGTCTGGTGCCTGGAACCCCTATTTCCCACCTACAGCCCAGCCTGGCCCCCAGAACCCCGATTTCCCACCTACTGCACAGCCTGGCCTCCAGAGCCCCAGTTTCCCTCCTACAGCACAACCCAGTCCCCACGACCTCAATTTCCCTCCTACAGCACAACACAGCCCCCAGAACCCCGATTTCCCTCCTGAATAACTGCTATCATGCAGCCGTGGTAATGCAACACTGACAGTATGTGCCAGGTAATGATTCCCTGAACCACACCGTCGCATGACTTCATTAACAGGCACGGCGCCGAATAGAAATATAAAACTCCACTCTGTCTGCGGGCCCAGGGTGGGCAAGAGAACGCAGTGTCGGGGTGGACGGCCAAGGAGGCCGGGGTTGGCAGGGGCGTGGGCTCTAAGCTTAGCCTGCAGGTCTCCTCCCGGATCATACTTCACAGCACGCTTGTGTTTTATGAATATTCCAGATCATTCCTCCTCTTCAGCCTCTCTTTGTGGAGAGCCACGGGCCTGCAATGGCTGTAAATGAGGCCACTCACCCACTGGGACACTGTCAGCTGGCGTTGGTCTAGTGGGAGCCCATGGTGCCCAGACCCCGGACTCCCACCCCGTCCCTGCTCCTGGCGCACCTGCTCACCTGTGAAGCTGACTTCGTGCCTCTCTAAGGACACAGGGGCCAGTCTCCCAGCGACCTTCCGCCCTCCCATCCACACTCCCTCCCACTTCAATAGTTACCCTCTAACAGTTCAAATCAAAGGTTGACAGACAAGTCTCTCAGAACACTTCAAGTTTTGTGTATTCTTGCTGCCCAAGAATTTACAGCAAACGCACCCAAAGCACGTAGCTAATTTCACCTCCGAGGATGGTGTCAGAAACCTCAGGATGCTCTTCCCTGATCACATTGCAATGCAGTTCATTTCTCACGTAAAATCAGTAAGGTCTTTAAGAGCAAAGAATCTCAATTATCCCTAAGGAATCAAGAGTGTCAACATTTTCGATTTTAGAGTCTTGCATTTGTAGTGACATTCTGGCTTCGATGTGCCTGAGGATACTTGGTTTTTCTCTTTCCAAAAAACTTAGAAGGAAGGGAGGGGAGGGGAGGGGAGGGAGGGGAGGGGAGGCTGATCCAATGCTGACCACAGGAGCCCACGTGCACAGCAAACAGACCCAGGCAGGGAGGGAACATGCCCAGGCATGTCTGCTCTGTTTCCAGATGGAACATCCTATTTTCTGAATGATCATTGCCCTAAAGGGCAACTAGCATTATAATATCACCCAGGTCTCATTTTGAAATAAATGCCTTTTCTTTGTTACCAGGCAGGCTGTTTTATCTAGAACCCTGTGGATTTTAATGTTATTCCCTTAAGAAAATAAACTCTGTCGCTAAAGGCTCTACACATGGCACTAAATATTTGGTTTCTAACGTGACTCCTGTTGATGGGGGAACACAGGGCTAGCTGAGGACAAGGCACGAGTGTGGGGCAGCACATTGACAAGAGGGACCTTCCTCTACGGACTCAACTGCCTCGATGTTCATACTTTGCTAAGGGCAGAAGGCAATCTTAGTCCGACCCCCAGGAGCCTGTAAGTCTACTTTAACATATAAAAATTCCTTTAGAATTTCCCTTTATCGCTACGCCCCCAGATACATGTTGACAATCATCCCCCAAACACATGGCCCACTGATAGACATCTGAAGGGTCTCATGACTCAGGTTTTATTAGACAGTAATAAGTGACCTTATCCCAACAATAGCTGGCCCCCTCAAGGTCCTGGAAACCTTGCTCCCAAGATTCCTTAGAGAATACAGCTATCTCAAACCCCTCCCAACTCCCAGGTGTATAATTAGCTGCCCCTCACAGGGCCGGGGCAGCAGGACTTCCTGCCCATGGGTCCTGTCTCTGTGCTTTAATAAAACCACCATTTTGCACCAAAGACGTCTCAAGAATTCTTTCTTGGTCGTCGGCTCCAGACCTCACCTGTATTCCCCAAATTCATCACTGTGAATGTGCATTTTTTTTTTTTAAATAACTTGAGAAATTTGTTGAGAAGATGGTACAATGGTCAGGTGCCTGCTCCACAAGCAAGAGGGTTTCAAAACAGCTGTAACATAAGAGATAAAAGCTAGAGAAATAAATTGTTTAGGGGATCCTTGGGTGGCTCAGGAGATTCCTGGGTGGCTCAGCGGTTTAGCACCTGCCTTCGGGCCAGGACATGATCCTGGAGTCCCGGGATCAAGTCCCGCATCGGGCTCCCTGCATGGAGCCTGCTTCTCCCTCTGCCTATGTCTCTGCCTCTCCCTCTCCCTCTCTCTGTGTCTCTCATGAATAAAAAAATAAAATTTTAA